GTTATTATAAATATAATAATGCGTAGAATACATCATTGAAATCTGATCTAAAACTCAGAGTTCGTTCTCTGGCAAACATGATTACGAATGCATGATGTTTCTCGACGTCGATACGAAACACTAAGTAACCACAGCCCTAATGAGAATTAAGAGTTATTTCATAAGTATACTAACATAATGCATACAAGAAGTTTCGTTGCCTGATTTACGGGCCAACGAATTTCGTTTCAGTCGAAAGCGTAGAGATTCTTCTGAGGGAAAATAATAATGCAGACAGGTTGAAGGAAATTCGCCTTTCTCGTCGGTTTGATACATACGTCCAGGATCCAATGGAGTGGCTTGTTTTATTTCCACGCTTGGGTGCTACTCAGGGGGATGCGAAAATAAGAGACAATAATTCGGAAGAGACGACGAAGACGGCTCGGCGAGTTTATTTCGTAGTACAGACGCGAGTACCGTCGGTCGGATCCACGGGAGACTGGATACCTCGTATACGAGGCTTGCCCTGTTTTGTTCCCTTCTTTTCTCTCCGCTTCGTATTCTCTTCTTTTTTCTCCTTTCCAGGTCTTTGCCGCAATTGGTGCGCGAAATATTTTTCGCGAATCGCCGCTAGAATAAACATATTCTCACCGTCCTCACCACTTATTCTTGTCAAGTAATCCGTATTTTCCGGGTCGTCGACGATTCATGAAATTCAAATGCGCGTTATTCTCTGCAGGTCGTTGATCGAAAACGGGCAACCGAGAACGAATGTTTGACCACGTTCACGATTATTATTTCATTTTTTCTACGGTCAGTTTTATATTTTATTATTAGCGTGTATTAACGTGAAATCGACGTGTTCATTGACGGAATAAAAGGTTCTTGCCGTTCTACATCATCGAATATTAGAGGCACTTGAGAACGTTGAAAGGTTCGGCTGATGTGGTAGGTTGATTTTCGTTGTTAAATACCGTTGGGACTGTTCGCGTGGCCAACATTGAGGAATGCAAGGAAGTGAGTGGTTATCGAGTGATCTCCACGTCAGTCAGGTGTACAGAGATTTGCGAAAAATGGAGCAGCCCCGCAACCCTCTTCTGAAAACCGTTTGGGAAAAACCTGGAAACGGAAGCTTAAGTTGAGGACTGAGTCACTGGTGCGACGAACTTTCCATCGTAGTCCATTCATTTTTCTCTGCCAATAATTATTTCAGTGCGATTGATTTTATACTTATCCAGTAAAAAAGCATTAGTTTACTGCATTTCAACTGAGTCATAAAAATGCACTTGCCCGTGTATACATAAATAAATAAATTAGGTTGTTCAATAATTTGTTGAGTAGTTGTAATCGATTTTACCCGTGAAATACTTTCCTACGTGATTGCGGACGAAATTGTTCTTGATAGAAACTGTCGCACGGTGTATCGCAACGAACGTGCGTTCTTGGTCGCGTGAGTCTGACGGCGAAACAACTCGTAACACGGTCTAGGCAATACTCAGCGGACTAAACTTTGGGGATACTCGTTCGGGAATAGTCGCAGAGCTCGGTCGTTAGAACGTACTCTGCTATTTCCAGAGCAATTTCTCTAGATTCTTTTTTCCCTCAAAAGCAGAGGTCCACGTAAAACGAGACGTTAACCGTTTTGGAGTGGGCGCGGGGTGGGTGATGGTAGTACAATTTCGGATTCAACAGAAGCATACCAGGAAACTATTTACAAAATCGTTTTCAAGCCAGATGTTCAAAACAGATTGTAAGTCTATTTTATGCTAGACGTCGCGTTCGCTCGAGGAGCACGCACTTAGCTGACAGATCACGTTCTACCGCGGCCCCCGGCTACGTACGCGATCTCTGCAGGCCGTCGATAATTTTGATTAAAACTGAAGATTTTTTAATTAAATTTCTGAATCCACTTTCTGAATTTATGTATTACGTTCGTCGAAATGACGCGAAGCTCGAGGTGTTCTATTCATAATGGGTTTGTTCATTCGTGCCACGTTGACTTTGGGCAAAATCGAGCATAACACTGCCTAGAGCCGTGTATAATCGACTTGATCGCAGTACGGACGTTTGATTAAAAATGAATAAGGTTTCCACGTGGATCGAATTACGAACTTACCCCCCGACACAGGATTCCAAGGAGTTTATAGGTAACGAGATATCGATGGCCATAACAGATTATAAAACTTGAAACAGAAGAGGATCGGAACTTCGTCCGGTAAATTACGAGACTGTAAACTTAACAGCAAACTTTATACTCTGTCCCAGTGGAACTATAACTATGGGTACACAAAATCAACCAATGAGATTGTAATGAACTTCGCGGTAATGTTGGGACTGATTTCTACTTTGCAGATGGTCGAAGATATTGTAAGATTCATTTCTGATTAAGAATTTTCCTAACATGTGGGCGTTAACGAAATTATGGCATCGCAAATTCCATAATATGAATAGACAAATCGCCTGAAGAAAGAGTTCCATTTGTATTAATAAGGGTGCGTTTCGTTTCTGTTTCAGGATCGGGAATTCGTGGAGATGGAGGTGCCGTACAACGGCGCTCCGAAGAGGCCAGGCTCCCCGTCGCCCCTGACCTCCCCCGCGCACAGCACTGCCTCCAGGGGCGGCCTGCTACACGCTTGCTGCGGCCGCTGCTACCCCCAACGTTACCAGGTACGCGGTCGCCGAATTCTCGCCTCGACCACCTCGATAAGCGAGGGTCCACCCTCGTCTTCCTCCCACTCTCACCAATCGCAGCCGAGCGGGCATCCGGCTCACTCGCAGTACCAACCGATCGACCCGACCACGGTGCCGAACGTTGCGTTCAACGTGCCCGGTGACACGACGCAACGTCGCCAGGGCGCGACGAGCGCTGCCCCCTCCAGCCCGTACAACGAGACAAGGGTGTGAGCCGGGCTCGGGACAAACTCGTTCTCGTCCATTCGATCTTCGGCCCTGATCGCCGAACCCGTTCCTCCTTCCGAGTTCCTTCATTCCCGACTCGCGGAGAAGCCTCTTTTTCCCAGAGATCGCGATTTAATCGTTTAGGATACATTAGGATCGATTCCAATGTCAGAATTTATGAATCTGTGGCCTAGGCGATTATAAACTTGGGCAGAAACGTTGAAGATTATATATAAGGGAGACGAATCATATCGTATATGTAAAGAGTCGAAGGACATCAGGGATCCTCGTGTTGCCTCGCGTTCCGAATTTCGAGGCATTCAGAGAAAATAAGTATTAGACGTATCGGTAGAAGACTGATCTCTCCATATCTTAGAAAGACTCGCCTGAGATCTCGGGTCAAAGAGTCTCCATTGACCGGCACTAATTTCGATCTTGAGTCTGACTCTCGGAAGATCAATTCGAATCGTTGAATGATAGATTTCGATTCTTCGTCGTTAATCGCGGTTAAAAATCAGCGATACGATCCGGTTATCGTCGATCATATCTCGTCGCCAAGTTGCGTATATAAACCGATTAAAAAATGAACGGCCTCGATTAAAGGTAGCTATGTTCATCGCAAGGTGCTAGGAACGAAATTTGTGTTCCATTGTTGACGATCTCTGTGATCGTTTGAGGTACGATAGGACGCGTACTAGTTTCGATCGATCGATTTGTAGAAATCTAAGAACACCAATATTAACGTCGTAATCTCATTACTCATTCCTCACACGCAGTCGTTTCTCATTGATCACACCGTTGCGTCAGTCCAATCCAGGAATCGATTGAAACCGGGCAAATTTTCCGCGTATCGATCGCAAGATAGCAGCCCAGGCGCACGCACGATGTAACGGAGCGCAGATAGGACCACGGAATACTGCGGTCGTTCGCGACGTCGGATCCCGGTTGTTAAGCGCGATTCCTTACTTAAAAGCTGGGTCGTGCTCACCCTAAACCACTGCCAGCAGCGAGGGGATTCGAATTTCAAACCGTGTGCTCATTCTCTCGGTGATATACTTGCTATTTTATTCCGCGCGCACGCATTTCAGATGCGGATTGCATTCGGTGCGTTTGAATATAAGAGCTAGATAAACCCCGTGGCGGTTCGCTTATCTCTCGCCTAGATTTCCTCTTCAGCTGGGTAGAGAAGAATTCTCGAATTCCGAGTTGAAAGAATCCATTGGAACATATACGTATATGCGTAGGTATATGTGCTTTACGGGAACAGGGAATAAGAACGGGAGAGATGCAAATGAACGACGCGTTCTCGCGTTCGCGAACTAGACAGACAGGCGACGGTTTATCGTTTCTCACGTTTGCGCGCGGATTTTAACATCCATATATGCAACCGGGACTATTCTTCTCGCCTGGCGCATTTTTTCGCGTCGCATTGGTTCTAAGCGGTCTAATCAAGGGTTGAAAATAGTTATGATATTGGTCCGGATTCTTGAAGCAGTTATCGAGAACCGAAAAATGCCGTAACTGTTATTAGGATATTTCGGATATTATATCGGTTCTATAACTGTTATTTCTCGGCTCTGTATTTTGATTCTACCGATACTATTTCAAGTGGAATTCTTAATTTGCATACCGCAGGTATTAACAGTTATTCGGCTTTACACATAAGCTTTTCGCTAAGGAAAATATGTACTTATTACTAGAAAAAACTGTATTCGAAACGAAGGACCGAAATAGAAAAAAGTAACGATTATATATCCGATATAAAATTAATTCTGAAGAACCGAAATCAGGGCCCATATGTCTAATAACAGTTATGACATCTTTTCGGTTCTTTGTAACTTTGTTTCGGTCAGAACCGATATGTAACAGTTTGAAAAAGTTATTGTCGTAACCTTTTCAATCCTTGGGTGTACTATAATATTCTAAGGGTGCCGAGCTTTTCGTTTGTGATACATTATACCTGTGATGCATCTATTTTTCGAGAGTCGAGCGGGGCCTTGCCCCTTTTTTCCTCCAAGTTGGTTCTTGCGTCGTGTTCTAGTGGTATCGATAATTTCGGACGACTTGTATCAGGGGTGGTGAGCATACGGCGAGCTATACTACTACACGAGTAATATATGTGAGAGTTTTTTCAAATTTTTCCATCCACCATTTATATCATATAAAAAGTTCATGAAGTACTCAAATTATGGAATAATTAATTAGTTTTAATCAGTATTTTATAACTGTATTTTTTTCTCCGATATCAACGTAGCAAAAATTCTGAAAAAATTCAGGGATGCACTATCTACGTACCTAATACTTCGTCATTGAGGAAAACAGCTCAGTTAAAAGTGGGAATTTAAAGTTACATAGAGGAAGAAGCTCGCCATCCCTGATTTATATTATCCGTTTAGATACGGTACGATACGCTTTTGTAGTGTTCATACTAAATGTTCGCGTTCGGTAACGAACGTAATTAGTCATCGTTTGAAAATCCGCTAGCAAGAGTTAGCCTGAAATAAATTTATATTGCACGTTTAGTCACGTTTTAACTTCAGCCTCCCATCGTTTTCGTCGAAACATCCTTTGCGAGAATGTCGGATCAAATTCGTCTCCTGCTCGGACTGTGACGCTACGCTAAATACAAACATTTGCATTTAATAATAATTAGAATATCATGCTTTTCATAACTGAATCGTCCCGTATCTGAACGGATTAACGAAAAAGACGGATCTGTTGATCTCGCGTCGTTGCTAGATAGATCCGTGTACCAATCGAATCGAAGAACGAGGATTTCGTTTCCCTCGATTGTACTCAATCGAAGCGGAACTATGGTTCTATCCGTAGATTATCTATCGAATCGTTATCAGTCTCCTTCGGCCAAGCGTTCAGCCGAAGACCAACGGTCTAATTGAAATTATCTCTAGCCTTACTCCGTACTGTCTTCTGATGGCCAATTCTAAATCGGTGTGTAGTGATTATTCTGGTTAGAGCCAGCGGGCTGGAAATAGCTTGGATTTGACGCGTTGCGCGAGGTTCTAGGGCTGGGATATACACAAAGTTGTAGTTTTAAGGTACATCGGACGCGAAAATCCTTCGCCCTTAATTGAAATTGCTAGGTTTATTTACGAGAATTCGTAGATGATACTATTAGGATTACCTACCTCTTTCAGTCGAGTGGCCTTCTCTTCGAATATTCCCGCCCCCTTCGACCCACGCCGTAACCCGAATCACAGAGAGCAGATCTTCGTTTGAGAACGGTCGCACGTCTGTTTCGTTAACTATTGAAAACGGAACGCGAGCACGTATCCATGACTCGAGATCATCGACGTTATACTAGGAACGACGTGGAATATTTTATTTCGGTGGTGTTCGCGTCACGTGATAATTAGGTCGTATTTAAAACTGGATTCCTTTGAAGGGAAAGGGTAAGATATTGAGAATTTGACGCGTATCGATTGCAGCGAGTTGGCCGTAAGTGAGTCTTCTCGTAAATCAGTCGCGGGAGTCGTCGTTAACGAGGGAAAATGAGAAGTGATGAATGGTTCTATCGCTCGACATATATGGACATACGAGGTCCCATCGAAACCCCATTAAGTTCGTTTTCCCTTCTATATGGGTTCAGAGAGCCACCGTTCCTTCCATCGGTCTTCCATTTTGTTTCTGCCGTCACACTCGTGTTCAGTCGTTTCGAAATTTTCTACACTGACCCGTCAGTTTAATGGAGAAATTTATTTAAAGCTGCCTTTGAAATTGTAACCCCTTGGCTAAACGGGCCGGGTTTTAATTTTAATCATCTCGCTAACTCCGACTGGACCGAAAGCTCATCGAAGCTTCATTAAGCGTCCCCACCGTCTTCTGTCTTTTCTCCACGAGCTACCTTTCATCGGTCGAACTATTAGGCGTTAATCGCCCATTAAGTCTTGCAATTAGCCGCTGAACTTCCGCTATCTTAGACCACCCACTCGCTTAGGGAAAACGCTTTAGGCATCGATATTTCAATTTCCTTGATCAACTAAATTGACATAGTTTCGACTAGTCTAACTCAACGTTTATTATCGATTTCAGTCATGGAATAAAACTTTTTACAATTGCCTTAGGAGTTTAGGAATTCTCATTTTTAATTCATTAAGTATAGTGATCATTTTATTAATATGCGTCATCTTTAACTTCACTGCGTGAACTGTGATGGAGCATATCGAGTATCGTAAGAGGGTAGACTCTGTTAGTAGCATGATAAGGCAGAATGGCAATGTTACCTATAAAATTGGCCAAAAATATAGGTTTACTGAATTACATTTTCCGACGTACAATTTCCTGACGTGTTCTGCTCTTGAATTTATTCAAAACAATTTCTTTCAGGTATAAAATTGCTTATAATTAAAGGCATCGTAACCACGATTTTTCATCTATTTTGTAACGCTCATCAGCACATTGTGATTAAATCATGACCAGACCACGTCAGATTCAATTTTCCTCTTTCCAAAGAGTTACTTGATGACCAAAAAATCTTCTTATATATGAACGAAAAATGTAACCCCGTAAACCCATATTTTTTACCAATTTTGTGGGTAATAATGACATTCTGCCTTATCGCGCCGCTATCGAAGTCTACATCCTTAACGCGGCTTTAAATCAATGATAAGATTCATATGCACGAAGGAAAACGAACGGGTCGTCGCGACGTGTACCGTCACCGGGACAATGAATGTGTTCCTGGTTTGCCCATTATGTATACGCGCGGGGTCTCGCTCTTTCAGTCTAGTATAGCCGGTTCGAAATTGCCG